GGGTCTTTCTTGAACTGCAAGATCCATACTTGGAGGTTCATGGTACTTACTAACCAATTACAACTGTACTTAGTACTTATAACCCCACTTATAATACCCCTAAAGGGCCTTATAGGGGTTATCCCTATTATAAGTAGTGTTATAAGCCCAGTTATAAGTGGTTATTAAGCCCCATGAACCTCCAAGTAGCCACAACTCAGGGTGAGGTTTCCTGTAAGGTCCCCTACATCCTCTAAAGCCCCTACAGGTTTCAAGCCTCAACCAGAACTGGAAGGAAATCTAGGGTTTAGGGATCTGGCCTTGTCATGCCCTTGGACATCACCGCAATCATGCCGCGGTACAGCTCCAAGATATCGCGTTCCTGGCTAATGCAAAGTTCAGGAGGTCCCCTACTTGGAGCAACCGTAAGAAGATGAACCTGGAGTCCTAGTCGATCCTTTAAGAAAAGGGTTTAGGGCTTGGGGTTTCGGGTTTATTAGGGTTTGGGGAAAGCCCTTCTTAAACCCCAGACTTTGAGAGTCAGCTGGAACCACAGGCCGCGCAGGCCTACACCCCACAACCCTGAGACACCAAGCAGGAAGTTTCAAGCGGGCATCCGATGCATCGGGCTCTCAAAGAGAGATTTGCTTTTTCCGTCAGGTTCAAGTGACGCATCATTGTCTGCATCTGAGACTGCAGCGAGCTGATGCCCGAGCTGATGTCCGACTTCAGGGAGCTGATGTCCGACTTCAGGGAGCTGATGTCCGACTTCAGGGAGCTGATCTGCAACAGCCATGGGGCAGACATGCGGGAAACACGGGACAAGATGTGGGCCATGCTCGGCGAGGCTCGAAGAAAGCTCACCTCAAACGCAGTGGCAAGTGCTGACAACATGCTGGCATCGGATACGTGGTCTGCACCCATGATGTCATCAGCCAAATTTGCCCAGTCTGCAGGGGCCAATCCCCCACACACGTTGTTCGCGGCTTTGATCCCATACGATAGCGTGGTCTTGATCTGATGCCGCCACCTTCCTGATGAAGGAATGCCGGTGCCGTTGATGTAGTGCAAGGAGCTCGCGCCAAAGTCGTACCAACTGAATGTGACATCACCTGTGGCTCCGCTCTTAAAGTACAGCAAGGTGCCACCGTGAGCATCAGGGTGGATGAGGCCAGTCGTAACTGCCATTGCAGCGATGTCGTGGATGTAGCCCAATACAAAAAAAAGCCAGCCTGCGCACGGCAGCTCGTCTGGGTTTGCAAAAAGCTGTGCAACAACGCCATCAGCCCTGTTCTCCACCTGGGTGGTTGTCAAAATTAGATGATCCCTTTCTCTAAATATTAGGTGCCGTATTATAATTGGGATCCAAAAAGGGACTATAATTTTGACAACCACTCGCCTCGATGTTCAGTAGTGCCCTCCGCAGGCTCTTCGCAGGCATCCCATTCGGAAGAAGAAGCGGCACAGGGTTCGCCAAGTCCACATAGACGGAGCAGTCGATCCTGGGCGTTTGGATTCCAAAAGCCAGGGGTGCCCTGGCAGCCCTTGCAGCCAGTAGTCGCTCCTTTTCTCTCGCGATGGGAGGTTGCAGAGTCACCATGTCGAGCGACTCCGTTCTCTTCAGCTGGTCAAGTGCCCATTGTGACTGTCTGTCTCGCGGAAAAGAGAAGCCAGCCACCAAGTCGCTGAACACATACCGCAGGGGCTCTTGCAACAACCGCTGGGGGCTCATGACTAGGAACTTTATAGCCAAAAAATCCGAGCAGTGGCCCTGCGAACCGGCCCGCGACCCGCCAGCAGCAGTCTTGTCGATGGTGCAATTCAGAAATGGCTCGAGGTCATGGCATTGGCTGACCCGGCATGTGCCAAGAGCCGTCGGCAGGCATGCTGCGATCAGCAAAGATGCGAACCAAATCGAAGCCATTGCGGGAGTGGCAGTGGCAACTGGGACCCTGGCTTGAAAAAAGTCATGGCAACAGCAAGGACTCATACTAAGGTTGTACGCCTAAGAGCCCTCAGAAGATAGAGGATCTTGAATCAGGGCTCCACAAACCCAAGAATGCAGGAATTAGGGTCCTAGATATACACTTTAAGGGGATTATGTAGGGATATACCCTCATTCCCTGATTCCCGACTAGGAACCAGCCAGACCTTAGGGGAGTCCGCCCTAAACCCTAAACCCTAAACCCTAAACCCTAAACCCTAAACCCTAAACCCTAAACCCTAAATCCTAAACCCTAAACCCTAAACCCTAAACCCTAAACCCTAAACCCTAAACCCTAAACCCTAAACCCTAAACCCTAAACCCTAAACCCTAAACCTAACCCCATAAGGACCGATTCTGAGACCCCCGGCGTTGCCGGACGCCTGGATGGTACGGGCGTTGAGCAGCGAATCCTCGGAAGAGGGGGCGGGGGGGGGAGGGGGGGGTATAGGGTTTAGGGCCTAGGGTTCAGGGTTTGGAGTTTGGGGTTTAGGGTATAGGGTATAGGGTTTTTTCCCACCTGTTTCGCATGCGGGTATAGGGTTTAGGGTTTCGACTCTCACACTCGCACAAGGCAAGGCATCGGTTGGTAGGTCATGGTCCATGGTGACACGAGGTTTTAGGGTTTAGGGTTCTTTGTTTTAGGGTTTTAGGGTGGCCTTAAACTGCAGCTGAGCTGCTTAGACGCTAGGGACTTCGTTGTCTCTAAACCACCCACCTACCTTTCCAA